CTTAATTCATCGATTTGTTTTGTAATAATTAGTTAACTAGGAATAGTTAATTAGTTTTGGTTTGTAATAATTAGTTTAATTAGCATAGCTAGTTAGCTTATTATTCGGACCCTCCGTCGAGAGGGCAAATGTTGTAATAAGTGTGCGTGTGTGTGATGCATGTCTTCCAACCCAACATCTTGCTCCCTTTTACTTATCAGCTTTTGATGGTTAATTTTAGGGCATGTTTCAATTAGCATACTTATACTTTGCATACGTGCATCATTCATTCGTATCGCATGCACCGGGCTCGGCGCATCATTCAAACTACATTGTATTTCAATTCCTATTTGAATACATGTATCAAATGTCGCATTCATATGCCATCTTAGATAGCCGAGCCTATTTTAGTTACATTTTTGCATGTGTTGCATTAGACATTTTAACATAGCTAGGATCATGTATGATTTTTAACTAGTTTTATGTTTTGGCTTGGAGTACACTGTAAGTGTTTATGCTTTAGCATCTTGCATGTGTGTAAGTGACTGCCATGATAGCATGCTTGCCATGAGGCTATGTGCTTAATTGATTAACTGCATGAATGCCTGTGGATGAAGGCTTCATTGCTTGAATTGGAACAATTCATCAAAATGTGAGTTTTAAGCCCACTTTGCGGAGTGGCAAATCATGTTTTCTTAAGCCCACTTGAGGGTGGTAAATCCGCGTTTTAGCCTACTTGAGGGTAGCAAATTCAAACCATTTTCGAAAAACAAACATGAGATGTTTTGTTTCAAATTGAGTGATTTAGTCTATACTTGTGTGCTGTGCGCATCACATAGTAAGCTAGCTAATAATCAAACAAGAACACATGTGTTTTCAAAAAAACATATCATGTTAGTTGAGGTCGATCTTTGATCGGGCGAGCGTGGTGCTTATTTCAGGACCTTCCCTTCTCGTACCCAAGTTCTCAAGCCGAGGTAACTTTGGTGATGACGGACACATGGCCTTTGGCACAAGTCAGGGTTTCCTAAATTTTTCAAAATAAAATATTTAGATGGCGACTCTGAAATTTGGCAAAGCAGTCCATGTTTGGCGCTTTTTGATTAAAATCGATTTTCCAAAACGATTTGTCGGATTTGGACTCTTTGGTGATTTATTAGTCTTACATTGTACTTTATGAGATTAGATTCAGAACCGTGACAGGAGTCTGAACTGTAGTAGCTAGAACCCAATTCGCGCCCTCGCGCGCGGAGCGAGTTCAGACGGTCTATAGTTAACTGGGAGTTTTTGCTGTCAATGATGAAAAATTTTGGGTTTGGTGAAAAATAGGTGGGTTGGATTAGGTCCTGCATTTCTACGTCAAGGATTTCAGTGCTTTATCAGTCTTACATTGTACTTTATGAGATTAGATTCAGAACCGTGACAGGAGTCTGAACCGTAGTAGCTAGAACCCAATTCGCGCCCTCGCGCGCGGAGCGAGTTCAGACGGTCTATAGTTAACTGGGAGTTTTTGCTGTCAATGATGAAAAATTTTGGGTTTGGTGAAAAATAGGTGGGTTGGATTAGGTCCTGCATTTCTACGTCAAGGATTTCAGTGCTTGTAAATGGGTCACCCACAGCAGAGTTTTCTCCTCAGAAGGGTTTAAGACAAGGAGATCCACTATCATCTTTCCTCTTGAATATAGTGGCAGAAGGTTTAAATATTTTGTTAGAAAGAGCCAAAGAAAAGGGGCAGATTAGAGGAGCTTCAGTTGGTCATCGAGAACTGAAAATCTCTCATTTACAATTTACATATGACACTATTATTTTTTGTGAAGCCAAATGGGATGAAATCATGGTGCTTAAAAGAATTTTGAGGTGTTTTGAAGTCATGTCAGGCCTCAAGATTAATTTTCATAAAAGTATAATTTGTGGAAAAGGAGTTAGTTAAGGAGTTTGCTAACAACCTGAATTGCCTTAGCCAGAGTCTACCTCTGTCATATATTGGCTTACCTTTAGGGGCCAATCCAAGGAGAAGAAGTACTTGGGAACCAGTGGTGGAGAAGTTTAAAAAGAAGTTAGCATCTTGGAAGAGGAGATTCTTGTTTTTTGCCAGTAGATTGACCCTAATTAAGTCCGTATTATCAAGTTTACCAGTGTATTTTCTATCTATCTTTAAAATGTCTAAAGCAATTGATAGGATTCAATCAAACTTCTAGTAGGGAGGTTCTGAAATTCAAAGGAAAATTCTCTTAGTTCAATAGAAGGAGGTGTGTAAAAGTAAAGCCCAAAGGGGGTTAGTTGTGAGAAGTCTTGGTGATGTTAACGTGTGTTTAATGATAAAATGGTTGTGGAGGTATGGTCGACAGCATCAGCCACTATGGAAAATGGTGCTATGTAGCAGATATGGTGGGATTGGGGGCAGGTGGAAACCAGAACCAGTGTCAGCTGCAATGGTATCTACAGTGTGGAAGGATACTGCATCGTTAGCCTCATTAAATAGTGTAGTGGCAGAGTTTTTCTCACAAAACTTCAGGATTATCATGGGAAATGGGGAAATGATTCATTTTTGGACGGATAAATGGTTCAATGATATGAGTCTTAGGTGTGAGCTTCCTAGACTGTTTAGTTTATCAGTGGAGAAGAAAGGTTCCTTGCAGTTTTTCTACCAAAGGAAAAGGTCGGGCAGTGATTGGAAGTTGGTATTTAGAAGATCACTCTTAGCTTGGGAGGAGGAGGAAGTTCAAAGGCTAAATGTATTATTAGCAGAGGTTCCTAATTTAAATCCTCTAACTGAAGATAGCTATTTGTGGAGAGCTAGTAATTCTGGAGTATTCTTTGTGGCTTCAGTGTGGAAAAGGTTGGAATTAGTTAATGGATCCATGATTCACATTTCAAAGTTCCTGTGGAAAAATGCAGCACCCCCAAAGGCTCATTTCTTCAGCTGGTTAGCTTGGAAAGGGAGAATCAAAACTGCAGAATTTATGCAAAGGATTGGAGCTCTACCTGTCAATGTCAGCTCCCTATGTGTATTTTCCAAAGCAGAGGTAGAGTTTCTTTTATGCCCTGAGTTGGTAAGCTGGTGGGAAGTGCAGTGGGTAACACCAGGGTCTGTGGTTGTTTTGCTTAATTGGTGGTCAGGTATGAAATTAAGGAAGAAGGAGTTCAACATTTGGAAGGTGGTCCCTTTGGCCATGTTATGGTCCTTATGTAAACTTAGGAATGAATGCTTATTTAACAATGGTAATGCAGATTTTGCACAGATAGTAGAGCTATTGAAAGTAAGAATTGCATTATGGGTTAAGTCAAATGTTAAGGGGGTGAATTACACAGTGCATGATATTGTCACAAACTTGAAGCAGGTGAAAGGTTGTATGACATAGGTTTATGGTTGTTATGTCATTAGTGTGAAGGTAAATCTGTCATCAATATGGAAGGTAGCTGGTCTGATGCAGATTGGTATGTAGCAGATTGTTGGAGTGTAGCAGATGTTGCTGTCATTTTTAGCTAAGATATATTTGAAGCTGGTCATTTTTAGCAGATTGGTATGTAGCAGATTGGTAAGATTGGAAGCTGGTCTGAAGCTGTTACTCTGGCACCAGTGATGCTCCCTTGGAATGTATGTTGCTGTCTGTGAATGTAACCTGATTGGTATGTAGCTGCTGGAGTGCATTGGCATGATGATGTACAAAGCCACAAATCAGTAGCTATGAGGGGTAGCAGCTGAATCTGAATTGATATTGGGATGTGCCTTGATCAAAACAGGGCCCATAGTCATGTTTTGTGTTGTTTTTCCCTACTTGTGTTGTTTTTTCCCTTCCTCTCTTTTGGTTCTTTTGATTGGTTCCTCACCAATCTTGGGTTAAGTGCTTGCAAAGGATTGCGCTTCCTTATCAGTGCCAACCTAGTTGGGATTGGTAAGGTTAGTTATGATGCTCTTTGCACTTCCCTTCTTTATTGATGTAAGTTTTCGCATGTATCTTGCTTTCTTTATCAATAAAGTTTCTTTTGCTGATAAAAACAAAAAAAACAAAAAATTATAGTTTTAGCGACTATTTTTGGCAACACTATATAGTTCGCCCAATCGAATTTGTTTCATTTTGCTACTACAATAAAAACATACTTTAGTAGCACTATACAAGTGGCACGTTTTTAGAAAATGCCACAAAAATAATATTTGGTGCCATGTTTTAGAAAAATGTCACAGAGCCACAAACATAAAAGACTCTAGTGACATTTCAATAAAGAAGTACTATATAACTACAACAAAAATGTGATCTAGTAGCATCAATTTTATGACATTTTATAAAAGAATGACACAAAAATCATTTTAGTAACATTTATCAACAGATGCCACTAAACTTTAATAGTAATGACATTTTTTGAAAAATGTCACTAAACTAGGTAGGTGTAAGTTACACTACTAAAAATTGGACCATTTGCGACAGTCTCAAACGTCGAAAAAGGTCCACATGTTGTCGCAAAAGATTTTTTTGCGACGAAGTAGCGACAGGAAATGGAGGGTGGCGGTAGGGGACGTGACAAAAGTATTTTCAACGGTTACAAACCATCGCTTTCTTGTAGCGACAATAAATTAATGGTTTTCACGATGGTTTAATCGGACACAAAAGTGAGAAAAAGATAACTTTTAGCAACGATTTAGGATGCCGTTACCAAAAACTTTTTTAGAGATGATGTTTGACGTCACAAAAAATATTATTAGTGATGGTCTTAAACGTCGCAACAAAACAAAATTAAATCAATAATGCATTCGCAACAGTTTAAATCGTCGCTAAAGATGCCACTAACATATATATGTGATAGGTTATCCCGTTGCTAATAAAATGCAAGGAAATAATGATTATATTAGCGACGGTTTATTACTATCGCATAATAACTATTTTCATAAAATAAATATATATTTTATTAATTCATACCCTGTATAAATTATTAATATTTTTTAAAATAAAATACATCCACACATACACACTGACATTGACATTCACTTTCACAAAATCATATATACGAATAATAATATATATATACCATGTAACCGTACAGTGCCAACCAAACATTCCTTATAAAAATATACAAAACATCCTTCAACAATACTAATAATTTTTAATAATTCAAGAACTCAAATTTGTATATAAAACAAAACAAAAGTATCGACAGTACAAACAAAATATATATATATATATATTATAGCTTGTTTTAGAGTCAACAGTAAGCTCCAATATCGATATGCGAAAATATCATCACGTAGTCAGATAGGATCTGCAAAAGGAAACAAAAATAATAATTATTATTTACAATATAATTAATTTCAAGTTTACAAAAAATGTAAAACATTTGATATTTACTTTAAAAAATAAATAAATAAATAAAGAAGATTGTAACATATACATGAATTGAGTGCCACATAACGTATCTTCCAACAGGTTCTCCACCTGTTCTTAGACCCCGGAATGTTGTTTCCAAACCAGCATTCAACTTTTTCACTTTTGAGACAAAGACTTTGCAATATTCAGTCCCAATTGGAACTTCATCAATTTCACACAACGGATCTTCACTGATAAGAAAGTTAGGTCCAAATTATAGAAACTGAATCACAAGAACAAAAGGACGTACTAATGACACAAACTAAACCTATATGCATTATAACCTACCAATCTATTGAAGCACGCACTACTAGATTAGAAAGGTAAAGTGACCCAATATGTGTTCCATCTAAACCGCATAAAATTAAACCCATATGAAAAAGTCCCTTGGAGAAATGTTTTATAGCTTCCTCTCCTGTTTGACCACCAAGAACTATGGCCCTTCTCCTACCAACAACGGATATACTATGTCCCCAAGCAAATCTCAGAGGTCGCCCAAGTACAATTAATAACCTCCAAGTAGGCTTCTCATCGGTAGGGTACAGGATATAAAGCTGTGAGGCTGAGTGAAGACTAGCCATGGACCCAGCACTTACCAGGATTCTGCCACCTGGCAGGCTCACGGCTACATGATCTGATACATACAGACTGCAAGAATGCAAGTAACCAATCAAATGTCCAGGAAATAATGGTCTAAGCTCAATAATTAAAGTTAAAAAGCATATATATTCTTGAACAAGGAAATCAAAAGAAGCCTCAACAAAAACAAAGTTCAATTGATTTCCAAAATATCTAGATGCCATTGATAGTTAATGCACATGCTATTTCGATGAGTTATTTTGCAGCATACAACATTGTGACTAAGCCAAGCCATACATCTGAACACTGCAACCTTTTACAGCAGTTGGAGATAAGCATTACCATAGAAACCTCATAGAGAAATGAAATTAGCAGCTAATGAGTGAAAAGCATAACATATAAACTTAACTCCACGAGAAGTGAATTTTGCATCTGTAGAGCAATTTTGAGATCATCCCCTTCTCCAAGAACCTTTCAACAACTAGGACATCTAGCAAAATAAAGTATTGTTAACCAGAAACCAGAAACTCCAACATCCAAAGACGAAAACCATATGAACCAGAATCTCCAACACCCAAAGATGAAAGCAACAACCTCTCAGGTACCAGGCCGAATCTTAGCCTTTCAGGAGGCAAGAAGAAATCTCTTGCAACACTCATGAACTTCGAGAAGAAAGAATCAAGGCAAGAAGAACTCTCATGCAACAGCCATGGCCTTCAAGAAGAAAGAATCAAATCGCTGGAACTCTTCAAAGCTGCAAGAAATCCCAACAGTGGGACTCATATTTTTATCCGCAAGAAAATCAATTTCACATACAAAGCTAAATTCCCCAAGCCAAGAGAGTCCACTAGACCCACTTTGAATACCACAAGTTAATTGCAACAGTTAATTGCAGCACCAGCCAAATCATTGGAATAGGGGAATTTCAAGTGCATTTTCAAAACTAGATTCTGGAAGGATCTATCAGTTGCTCACAGAACATCAGCAAAGAATAAATTGGAGCTTTAACCACATATAAAGACCTAATTTTGCCCATTGTGATTAGCAAGACACGGGAAGAGGGACAAAGTTTATAATTTGACATATTATGAAACACGATATCAAACAAAAATTTGAAGCATTGAGATGTGGATGATTCGCATGTGCTCAAGTCATTAGTATATGTGGATGACAAAAAAAATGGTAAGTAGTTCTTTATTATTTTTCTGCTATTAGAGCAAAGGGACATACATAACTAGTTCTTTTGTACAGTTCCAAAGTAGGACAAAAAATGGTCCCTTTTCTAGCATTCCAAATGGTAATGCCATAGTCCAAGATTCACCCGAGTCTCAGTTTTCAAAATTATAACAGCAAGTATATGCTGAAATTATTCTCCAGTACCACACTTCTTTCGAAGTTCATTAATGGGCATGTGAAATTAGCTTTGTGTACACTGGTCAGTTAACATATTCTAATCAATATTGACATACATAATTGAAAAAATAAAGAAACAAATAGAACACAATAGAATTTCTTAGATGACCAAAATTACAGTATCAGATGACCACTCATGCACCTCGTGCATCAAACAACTGGATGCAAGCAGCCAAAATTAGCAATTACATCCAAATGCCCTCGCTTCACCATACTTGGGACAAGCTTAGGAACTTTAGAAGGAAATCCATGATACATATTCCCATAATGAGCTAAATGACTCCTCTGCCCGACTTTACTTAAGCAGATATAGTGATGGAATATTAGTTAATCCACCCGATTATGTATCTACAAACAAAATCCTAGATGGTACAATAATTGAATTGAAATTATGTGAATGGTAAAATTAAGGAAAAAGAGATTCTTTAGATATTTATAACTTTATCAGAACACAATACCATAATTAGAAAAGTCTAGTCAAATAATGACATAGGAATTGCAATGTATTCTCATGCTTAATGAAAAAACCTTCAGAATCAGGTGTTCCAAATGCATCATTTATGTAGAGATCTCCAAGAGATGCCAACTTCTTTGCAAATTCAGGATCATTCTTCTCTTCCTTCTTATAGAATCTCACATTCTCTGAAAGGTATTACAGTCACCAATTTTTCTACTTCTTCAGAAAAATAAAAAAATAAAAAAAATAAATAAATAAATAAAAAAAAATCACAAATTCAAAAACTATTTTTGAAAAATAAAAACCAAACAGAGTGAATTGTAATTAAAAATAAGATGGATAAATAACCAAAATATCACAAAAAAGAGAAAAACAACCAAAGAATGAGTAAAACTAAATTGAAGCTCTGAGTATAAGTAGAGACATATTAAATAGGAATTATTTTATATGGGCATGAATTTTTATTTATTTATTTTTTTTTTTTGAACTGGTATGGGCATGAATTAACTCCCTATAATTAACAGCTCTTTCTCATCTTCTCTACAAACCCAATTAATTCCAAGGTAATGTTCTATCAAGCAATTCAAATTTGCCAACATATGGAAGTAGATGATATATCCTCAGATTAGGTTAAGTTAGGGTTAGGGTTTTGAAACTTTGAAGGGTTTTATTCTTTATTCTTCACTTTTCATTCTTTATTCATCCATGTTGAGAGAGTTTACAAACTAATCTTAGATATACAGAAATAGAAATCAGAAATCCATTGGACATGGAGATACAAAACCATCATTGAAAATTTTCAATGGCTTTAAAATTATTTGGTAACACTAATTCAAAATCAGATTGTATACCTTGAATCATGGTGCAACAATTGAATATATACGGACATACAAAATAAAACAAAAAAATTAACTGAAAATCCAAAGAAATACAAAGCAGATAGACAAACAGAGTTCAGTTAAGAAATTAGGAGAGAAACAAATGGGGAGCGAGATACAGAGAAAGCGCTGACGAATCTACCGAGCCAAAATGAAGCGGCGATGGTCACAGCAACGGCAAACGGCCGAAACCTGACAGTCGACGAATGTCTATGCCGGTTTCAGGAAAATGGCCCTTTTTTTTTTTTTTTTTTTTTTTTGGACGGCACAACAAAATCCATGGCCAAAAAGTAAATAAATAAATAAAAATAAAAAAATTGCGAAGGGAAGAAAAGTCGTGGCAAAAAATTTGCGATGGCTAATGGATTGTCATCTCAAAAATCATCCGACATATTCTTTCCTTTTTTTAAGACAGTAATTACCGTCGCAAAATGAAATCATTGGTGATGGGGTATTAATTGTTGTAAACAGTTGCTTTTTGTGACGGAATATATACCGTCGCAAAAAGTTCGGTTATACCCTTTTTATGATATTAGGTGAAATATGTCATAAACAAATATTTTATGATATTTTGAAAAATGCTACTAACCCAAAAACTTTCTAAACTATCTAATGGCATTTTTTGAAAAAACAAAAAATGCTAATATACTTCCAAATTTTTTTGAAAATGCACAAAATAAATATAAACAAATAAATAGAACTCAATAAAACACATTTTTTTTTAATTCTACTTGCCACATGTGTTTTGTAAGTCTTCTTTTAATGGCACTTGATAGTGTCACAAATAATGTTTATCATGACATCAAAGTATCATTAAAAGTCTTTAATATTGATGGTGTAATGACACTTACAACTGTCACTGAAGTGCCACTAGGTCTTTTTTTTTAATAGCGCTTGGTAGTGTCACAAATAGTATCTATTATGACATTTAGGGATGGCCATTTGAATTTGATCCTTGGGAGTCCACCCATACCCGTATGAATGGTGTAGATTTTACCTGACATGACACTTATATAGGGTTGGGGTGGGGGTCGGGGGTGGATTATATTTTGGTCACCTGCAATAGGAGTGGGGCGGGGGCAGGGGTGGGTATCACCTCTCCCGATCCAAACCCGACCCAATATAATTAAATATATATATTATATAATTAGATATAAAAAATAAATACTAAAAGTTTGTGGTTCTGTCTAAATATAAATAAATAATAATTCTAAAAGTCTCACTGTTTATACATATGGAAAAAAGAAAAATAATTTAGTGTGTTAAGAATTTAAATGATTTTTAATTTTTTTTTTTTTGCTATTTGAAATGTCGTTGGGTATCGAGTATCGGCGGCGGCAGGGGCAGGGATGGGGTTAAAAAATTCCACCGGTAGCAGGGTTAGAGCGGGGACAGAGGCGGGGTTTATCCACGTGGGCAGGGATGAGGAATAACAAACCCGTCCCGTGCCCATCCCTAATGACATCAAAGTGTCATTGAAAGTCTTTAGCCATGATGGTATGTTAGGTTTTTATTATTGGTAACCCCGTTTGACAAAACTGCTTTGAGTTGTAATTTTATTCACATTTATATTTCAGTGAGGCTATGAATTTATTAGATGCGAATCCAACCCGAATGATGTTAATGTGTTCAAGATTGCCACTTCGCTGATTATGACGGGGGTCGAGCTTTCCAGTTTTGGTCTTCCCGCTCGAGCGGGAAAGTGACGCTCGAGCGGGGTTTACAAGCTCACAGTATCTCTGCTATGCCTGAAAAAATACTGGATGGTGTGATTTGACGCTCGAGCGTGGAAACCGACGCTCGAGCGTGGAGCCTATATGAAATCACGGAATTTGAAGTCTCCGCTCGAGCGGACATTCCCACGCTCGAGCGAACCGTGCGAACCCAGATTTCTAGACTTGTTAAGGAGTTGGTTTTCTTCTGAAACTGGGATTACTTTTGGTTTTCTATAAATAGTTGGTTTTCTCCCAACACTAGAGTAACTCCTCCAGATCTTCTTTTTGGTTCTTAAGGTTTATGTCTGGGGATATTTTGTTAGTTTTTCTTTGATGTTTTGTTGAGTATTCAACTTATGGTTTAAAAAGAATATATCAAAGGTTTTATTTGTTCTACATAAAAGAGAGAGTTGTTCTTCGTTAGATTATGAAGAATTCGAGCCTGAAGCTTCGGTGGATTCTGGAGTGGCTCATCGTAAAGAAAATTCCGAGGTGAAGACAGAGTTGGAAGAGGCACATAGAGGTTGATTCAATTAGGCGTGAATTCGCTAGGTAATTGAGAGTATACCTGTGTAATTCCTTTAAATTTTCTTAGTGGATTGTTTTGTGGCTGTTGCCCGTGGTTTTCTAATCACAGTTGGAGGTGTCCAATTATGGTTTTTCCACGTAAAATCGTTGTGTCGATTTGTCTTAATTGTTTGATTGTGATTGTTATATTCTGCTTAAAATTGGTACATAATCACAAATCAATATCTAGGGGATTTTTAGATTTTTCATGGTATAATGACATTTGCAAGTGTTGCTGAGGTGTCATTAATATCTACCGTGATTCGTGTATAAATGACACTTGTTCAAAATGTTACAAGATTAAAAAATACCATTAAAAACGTAATTTTGTAAAATATTCAAATACCACTAAATTAAGAAAATATTGTAGTGCATCTCAACTAGAGGTGCCTCAAGGCTTTATAGCCCCGACCCAAAATCAAAATCAAAATCAAAATCAAAATAAAATATTCTATAGTTCAATCGAATTTATTTTGTTAGGATCAAAACCAATTTGGGAGATAACAATATATGTACATACAAAAGTACCATAACCAACCACCTCAAGCACTAATAACCAAAATCACTATAAATTTGACAATCAGTAAAATCTCAAAATTAAGAATTAAAATGACTCATAATTAAAATTCTAAATCTTTATATTTGAAGCGTATACTACATACCTTTTGCAATAAAAAAAAAAAAATAGCACAGTTTCTTGATCGTGTCTTCGGATTATTTCCTGTCTCCCTTCGCACAGTGTGTAACGAACTCACTATTAATAACATATTGAGTTTTATATGCCAAGCATACTGTTGACTATATGATATCTCTAAAGATCTTTATTTATTTTTTAAAATTTTGAAAACTGAAAAAAAAAACGATAAGGATACTCTTTCAAATTGGCTCCCATTTTTATCATGGATCACTAAAAGATTTAGAGTTGATAATTTTATTAAGTTATTTTTTTTTAACTACTTGCATGATTTCTGATCCATGTGATCTCTGCATTTGAGCAACCTTTGGATCTGAAAATGTCATGGCATTGGCAGGTGAGAGAAAGTTATTGACATTTATTGGATGTTATAAAACTAACTAGGTGTTGTTTTTTTTATTTTGTTTTGTTGTTTCAGTTCCGGTTTGGTTCCGGTTGGTATCTCACCAATTTTGATGTTGTACTAGAATATAATTGGGTTAGTTCGGTAGTGTCAACTTAGTTAGGACTGTTAAGTTTTGTTTTGACACTTTATGCACTCGCTCCTCTCTATTGATATTTGTATCAATCATTTATATATTTTTATTCTTATCAATAAAGTTTCTTTTGTCGAAAAAATAAAAATAAATAATTAACTAGGTAGGGCTTGAGCCACGATTCCCTTCGTGGAGGGGCTAGATTGCGAGAAAAAAGGGGTAGGTCCCGACAGTTGTCAATAGATCGGGTTGAGTTTTATTTGTTTAAATCATTATTAATTGGACTAATAAACAAGTGCAAGGGATTAGTCTCAATTTAAACATTTTTAGTACAATTTTTATAGTTGGATTGATCAAAATATATAAATTTATAATAAAAGGTAGGTAAATTACACTTATCTCCCCTGAGATGTTTCATAATTGCAAAGATCTCCTTATAGTTTCAATAATTATACTGACATCTTCTATATTTAAAATTATTATTAGGATCCCCCCTTCTATTATCTCTTTGTTTGAATATCTAACATAACAAGGTGATGTCAACAACTTTTAACTATTAAAAGGCCAAAACTACCCTTATTCATCTCTTTCTAGCAATGAAAAGGTTAAAGGGAAAATTACATTTACCTCCCCTTATATCATCTCATTCCTCTCACAAACTTTTTCCTTTGGTTTTCTCACATTTTCTTAATCATTTTTTGTCATTTTTCTCCTTTCCTTATTTTTTCCCTATTATTCTTTCATTATGACCTACTTTATATCTCTCAAAAAAATAATGTTCACCATATCCGTCTCTGTAAATTTTTAGTACCTCCATCTCTTTTCGTTTTCTTTTATTTCTTTCACTCTTCTTGCTATTTATTCTCTTTTATTTTGTTTGGGTGTCCTTACAACTGATAACAGTGTCACATATTTTTTTTTTTTTTTGGGTGCTCTTTCCTTATGCTCGTTAGAGCCACAAAAAAATAATAAAAATTACAAAGCCAAGAAATTACATTTACATTTTGAAAAATTTGTGGTAAATTGTACTTAATTCTCGTAAGGCTATAGTGTTTCAAGGGTATTATAGTCATTTGCACAATCAAATTAACATCTTTGGTCCTAGTTAATGGGAGAGAAGAATCTTGACAATGTCAGAAAAAATAAGAGAGGTCAATGTAATTTCAAAAATCATAGGGAAGGTCCCTACAATTATGCAAAATCTCAGGGGAGGTAATTACAATTTACCCTAAAGGTAAGGTGGTATGCTAAAAATTGAGAAGATCTTAATGTAATTAATCTAATTTCCACTCAACTTTCTAAACTAATTTTTATAGTTTTGGTTACACAATATCTTAAGTCCATAAAAGCTTTAGTTTAATTGCTTTTAATAAAAGCTTTTATGTTTAATATGATTGCAAATCAATCAAGTAAATTATACTTTTTTTATTTATCGCAAGTTTTCTTAAGGGAAAATTAAATATCAATGTGTGTTTGAATTTTTTTTTTTTCATTTAGTGATGGACTTTATAATCATTATAAAGTAAAATTACAAATTTTCATGATTTTGTAATTAATTTTTTTAACGATTTCTCTATCATGTAATTTTTCCTGTTTTAAACATGTGATTACCAATATCTTTTTAACATGAGCTTCATTTAATTTTTTAATAATATTAGTATGATCATCTTTTCTTATTATAATTTGTTTATTACTTTATGTGTCAACACTGTATTAATGTTTGCTACCAATGTAATCTCAACACATGATAGGACACAATGTAATCTCAACACATGATATGACAAAAAAAATAAGAAAAAAATATGATCATCATA